GAATTTTTAGTAATTTTAACTCAAAAATAAGAAGTTAAATAAGTATTTTTATAAATATTAAGTATTATTATAAGAGGAAGAGACTTATATAAATAAATAGAAGCTTCATTAGCTTATAATAAAAAAAACTAAGTAAAGAAATAAGAAATATGTTTACTTTCATACTTTTTTTAAGTCTCTTAATAATTTTAGTAACTAACTTTCTAAATAGATCTTTAAGACTTTTTAACTTAGTTTATAGAAAAAACTTATTAATTTTTATTTTTTAAAAATTAAATATAAATAAGTATTTTTAAGTTTTTCTAGCTTTCGTTAGTTTTAGTTTTATTCTCTTTTTCAATTTGTAACATAATTCTTTAATTATTCAAAGTAAAAATAAAGTAGAATATCATAGGGATAATACTACTAAACTTCTTTATAATAGCTTATTTTCTCTTAAAACATTATATAACTTAAAGTATAAAAAGAGTAGAAAATATAAATAAAACGTAAATTAGTTAAATTTATACTTATATATTATCTTTTATATCTCTTATAGTTTTCTAGAAAATTAGTATATAAGTATTTAGGTATTTTTAAGAGGTTTCCTACTTTAAATAGAGTGCTTAGTATAATTAATAAGTTTTCTCTCTTACCTTATTATAATAGTAGTTAAAGAGATGAGCTTAAGCTAAAATAGAGGAAAAAAGGGTCCTTATATTCCCTTTAGTTATATAAGTATTTATAAAAGAATCTAACTGTAGAACCTTTATTCTTAGTACTTGCTTATACCCTTTGTTTTCTTACAAAATAGGTTAAGGTTGAGACTTAGTTAAGCTCCCTTACTTAGATATAATAGTAGTATCTTATAAATTTAGACTAGAAGATTAAACCTAGATTTAGCATATCTAGGATAATTTCTATTAAGTAAGCTTAATAGTATACTTAGTAAGAGACTTCACAGTAGGATAAACCTAGTAACAACATTAAGCTAGTGCTTTATCAAGTGAGGATATTTGCAATGAATATATACTCTGTTTTGAACGCTTAAAATACTGCTTGAATAAGGTAGCCACTAGGTTAAGCAAGGGTCAAGGTCGATTGACAGGTCATATTCTCACGCAAGATCGACGTTTAAATACAAGCATTCGCATTGTCATCAGAACATTAAAGAACCAAATCACAACTAGCATGAGTGCCAAGCATGTAGACCACACTTTGAACGCCTTCGAATCCAGTAGCTTGCCGAGTTGTATCGCCGCGTTTGTGTAAACTCCCTGTCATGTGAGCATTCATTAGTATAAACTCGCCATATTTGCACTAAGTGGCTTCTTACCCAGGGAAACACCAATGCCCAAGCGGCCAACGTGTACGGCATCGGTCTCGGCCGTAAACCCTCAAACAACGCGTGCAGGACACCCAGGATCGCGAATAACCACCAAAATGTACCCAAACCCCAGGCCGCAACTCCGGCGAAAATGCTGCTGTACCCGACGGGCGCCGCTGCGTCCGCAGTCAGGAACACGCCGCTCGCGTAAGACGCGAAGCTTCCCTTGAGGACCGATCTCCCCAGCATCTGCAGCGCGAAGCTGGACTGGCCCCATGGCCCGCAGAGGATCATGTCCTGGAACGCTTTTTTCTTCGGCGGCTGGTAGTTGCCCAGTAACCTCGCCCAGAAGAGCACGTCCAGAGCAAATGTCAGGGGCAGAGCCATCCCAATGAGCAAATACGATACTATGATGACGGGGACTTGCTGGTCGCTGGCGAGTGCGGCCGAGTTGCACATAGCTCCGCCAGCGGCGGCTGCCGTCAGCGCTGCGGTGAGAGGGAGCTGCGTCGCGGGAGAGAGGCGTGAGACACCTGAGGGATAGATCTTAACTGTGATGAACGGGAGGACGATACTGATAGCCACGGCAAAGCTGAAGGCGATCCACCACAGAATGTAGATGGTCTTGCTCCACCGCTCGCCCCAGGCTGGGACGAGAGCAAGGGAGACCATCTGGATGATGGACGTGAAAGCGATTGAGACGCTCGAGAGCCCCGCAAGCTCGGACTCGTCATGTTTGAGCGCTTGTATGACTTTCCGTGGGTACAAGACGATGCGGAGCAGGTAGATGCTGACCATGCACAGAAGAAGGACCATAGCCATTACTAACAAGATGTAGGAGATGGTTGTGAGGCCGTTGAAGCGATAGTCGAGCTGCTGCAAGACCGCGGCGAGAATGGTGGTTCCCTGAGGTATGAGGAACCATTGTGAGCTAAAATTGCGTATGCTCGTGCGAAAGCATGATCTTTCATGATTTGTGCTTGGTGGAGGGAGATCTTGAGACTTTGAAGCCATTGGCATGGTTGCATTCCGGTGTAAGATGGCATGCAGCTTGAGCAACAGCAGTTATTTGTTGTATCGTAGAGGTTGAATTCTTGTCACCAACAAGGGCTTTACAAATGCGGTAATTGTTTCCTTGGCAATAATCCGGACCCTTGGACTGAAGAGACAAGAGACAACAGGCCGGGGAAGGGGGCGCGCTGATCTCATCGCTCCGGATCGCATCTCCGAGGAGATCCAAGATCTGTTGCCGGCCCGGATCGGCCCTGGGCCGCGTTGTAAGTTTGTAAGTCTAAACTGCCATGCCGCTAGGTTATGTCACTCGGACCTTCTGTCCTTCAAACAAACGGTTTCTTCACTTAGTGCATGTTTTGGGAGTGGCTTTGTCAGGCTTAGTCGCATTGTCATGGCTGTCATGGCGTAATCATGACGTCCGAGAATCAAGAAGTCATAGATACAAGGGGGGCCTGGGGCTAGCACTATTCAAAAAGACAGCATGGCTATGCTGACGTACCCGTTGGGTTTCCAAAGAAAAGACGAGTCGACAATTTCCGAGGAAGCGATCTCCAAGCTGTCCTTGTCAATCTGGTGCTTTTTTATTTCGGGTTGCCGCGGTTCGCGGTGGTGAGATAAGACCAGCGCAGAGATGGGACTGCCAGCCATGCGACCACTGCTGCTAGCAGGGGGCAAATCGACTCGGATGGGCACACCTACACACCTCCTCCGCATGCCCGACGGGACACCCCTGTATCAGCGCCAGCTACAACTCCTCCGCGCCATCTTCCCGGAGCCGCAGACGATTCACATCTCTTTGGCGCCCGAGTCTGAGACGGACGAGTATCTGGATGGCTTGCTCTCGGCCGAATCCGACGAGACCTCTGAAAATGGGGACTCGCCCAAGGAGCCGCGAGTGAAGATCTTGCGCGACAAACCGCCAGCGGAGAAGCCTCGATATGCAGCCGGACCGGCCGCCGGCCTCCTTTCGGCGTACCGCTACGACCCGTGGGCTAACTGGGTCGTGGTCACCTGCGAATACCCTCTCCTCCCGCCCGACGCCATCTATCACCTTATGTACAAGCGCGATTCTGTGCCAGTCACCTGCTACCAGTCGATGGATGGAAGCTGCGAGCCGCTGCTGGCGATCTGGGCACCGGCAGCGATGTCACGGCTGGCGGAGAGGGTCGCTCGGGGTCACCCATGTCCCTCCGAGGCGGCGAGGGAGTTTGACGCCTTGATGCTGGAACCGCCAACTGGTAGCGAATGGTGGCTTACAGATGTCGATTCCATGGAGGATTTGTTGACGAGCGTGCGGGAGATGAAGCTTGGGTCCCCTGAGCTTGTCGCCATCCAGGCGCCGACGGAGAAAGCGTAATGTCAGCATCAACCATGCGAACTCATGATTACAGCGAGCGTGTGGTGCGAGATCATTTTCTGTGTATATTTGCCCTGGATCTCTGTAATTTTGCCCGCTACTTGGATAATGCCCGACATATTGAGAGCATCGTCGTTCTCCCAGCTTTACCCGTATACACTGGGCTGACTGCCTGTGTCCATTGTCTGGACGGATAGATGTGCTTAGAACGTGTAGCAAGCATCAAAAGCGGAACAACTCCTCTCATCCCTTCGAAAGCTGGTTTGGCACACGGGGTACCGATATCACAGCCAGACTATTTCTCTCTTCTGAGCGGCAAAGGCAGCATTCTTCTTGCATATAAGCCTAGTAAAATGAAAAGACTTATTACCAAGACTTGATAATAGTTCATACCTAATTACGAAAATGAACGCGACAAGATTGAAACACCAGACAGAGAATAAAGATGTTGTAACCAAGCGCATTCTGGCAAAGACGAGCTGATTGAATGGATTGGCCGCGGCGGACGAGGCTTTATCCGTGTCACCTGAGAATGTGAACCCCCGATCGCCATTTATCCTACTTGATACACACAGATAACGTGTGGGCTGAGTCGACAACAAGATAGGCTCACTGCCGTCACAAGTGCAACCCGAGCTACAATGAAGGATTCGGCGGGAGTGGCGCAAACCGCAGCCTGATTCTTATTTTGGCAACCCGCTCTCAGCTCTCCCGATGATTGATCGAGCCTGACTGTCCCAGCTTCATCGGTAGCTTCTACTCTATTGATATGGAACAAAATACTATGGAAGAAGTCGTGGCGTTATGTAGGGAAATGGATCCTGGAGTAAGAAGAGCGAAGATAGGATACCAAGCTTGCTGCTTGAGTCTACTTGAGAGGCATACTGCCACGCTATGTCGCTGACGATAGAAAATCTGCGCTTCTTGGTGAGCCTCAAATCGGGCCTTTTCCGATATGCTTGAGAAGACGCCAGGCTTTGGCTACCCACCTTATTCCCAGAGCTGATATGTAAGTTGGTGTGTGTCGGCAGGCTGGGGAGTAGTTGGTCTTGGCTGCATTAAACGGAATGTCCTGATTGCTCAGCTTGGCCTGAAGAAAGCGCCGCCAAAGCCATAAGCAGGAAACACGATTTGGCGCTGTAAAGTTCGAGCTGGCAGAGGTTATCAGGACTGCATGCCAAACATGAATGATTTCTAGCTATAGCATTGGTGTCAGTGTGACTGGACAACATTATACATATAGCCTTGAGGGAAACGCTGCCACCATCCTGGGCATCAGATCTTCAGAATCAATTTCAACAACCCTCTGTTCTCTCCGCCGCAATGGCTCACAACAATTGGCTCGGCAAGGGAAATGATAGTTATCACTTGATCTCTCCAACTACCCCAAACTCGGACATTAGTACTGGCAACTTATCATCGGTCGCACCTCCCACCGCCCCAAGAAGTCGATATTGGGCGCGAACATTCATTCTTCTTCTTGTACCCCTCAGCATTTCGGGTTACTACTACTGGATATGGTTATACCTTCTGTCCTGGCCCCACGACGACGCAATCAAGTTTGGATCAGCAACCGAGATTTGGGTGTACTGCTCTTGGTTCATCATCGGCGTCTTTGCCCTGGAATGGTCTAAGCATGGCCTCATCGGGGTTGAAGTTGCTATGCTAGAGACGAAGACGTTTGGCGCTCCTCACCTGGTCGCACTGTTGAGCCACAGCGAAGGAACCTGGGGCGGGCCCGGAGGCTGGTTCAAATGCATCACAAAAGCGTTCAAACATAATCAAAGCGGAATCAAGACCAGTGTGGGTGTTTCTCTAAGAACCTACAAACTCTGGTATATTCTTGCCTTCATCAGCCTATCTTTGTACGTCGGAATGCCCCTCTCTGGTCTAGCCATGGAGCTATCCGATGGATACGTTCGTCTTAACGAGGCTCCTATGGTAGTCGGCCGTAATTCGACAACCTTTCACGAGAGATACAGGTTATCCAACCAGATCACCAATGCGGCCCAGACTGCATGGGAAATGGGATCTCCAGCAACGCTACCTGGGATTGGAATTATATATACCCCAGACTACTTCGACCGCGAGGGTCACAATTCTTTAGGCAAGAGTCCAAATCTTCTTCCGACTGAACGAGGGATTCCTGAGATGTTCATCGTTCCACAGGCGCTTGGTCCGATTTCTGGCCGATCGTGGGGCCTTCGAGTAGGATACGATTGTTCAATCATTCAAGATATTTCGGATTTCACTATTCTCGGTCACCATAAGGGAGGGCGTTGCAACGCCTTCCAATCAAACTCATCAGGGGCCTGTGCCACAGCTGGAATGTTTTCCGAAGTCACCAACGTATGGTCATACGCGGAAATAGGAACCATGCTGAACGTAATGGAATCACAAAATCCTCGTGATGCTATTGGCAGCAATCAAGAACCACTCACTTCTACTCTACTATCGACCAAGCCAACATTCTTGAATGGGCTGTCTGGCAGGTAAGAACCAAGGCTGCCTATGTCGAAGTCAAAAACTTCGACAATAACACCGGCTCTATTGTCCAAGGCATCGGATCCCCTTTCATGGAAGTTAGCAACGGGTCCTGGGTCCCAAATACGACATTTTTCGACCATAAGGAGTATGCTGCCTTTAACAACGTGTCGAAGGATGTACTAGACAGGATAATAAGTAGGAGCGAGGATACCATCGAGGTTGCTGCTGCCATCGGGGTCCGTTGTGTCGTCAGATCAGTGCTCGGCTCTGCAATGATCCATGCAGAAACATCCAGCTTTTCCGACTTCAAAATTGAAGATCCGACTCCGTATGGAAAAGTAAATGCGGAAGGACCAATGAGCCGGCTAGGCACCAATGTGGAGGCAGTGGTAACAACGGCCAGTTTCGAGGCCATTTTCAAGTCAATCAACGTCCGGGCCATGACCACCGAGTCCAACTCAGTTCAAGTTTCCAAATTTGTAAGCTCAAGGGAACTGCAGAAGTCGGCCTACTTGGCATGGGGCCACGAGGTTCTCAACCAAATGTACGACAACTATTACGGTTTCGAAACTAGCTGGCCCGACGCAAACTTGACTTCGTCCAAGAAAGGCAAAGTCTTGACGAAGGGGGAGCTCCCACCGTTAGTGGCGGTGATTCCCTTTGGCATCTGGGCCGTTAGGTCTTGCGTACTCGGGATCTTGTTTGGATTCAGACGCAGGTTGGCGGATTCGTTGAATGGATTTAGCTTCTTCCGTTTCGGAGTGTACTCCGCAGACAAACTGAAGACCGAGGGAATCCTACGTGCTAAGGAAGCTGAAGACGTTGCGACGTTATGGAATCTGCCAGGCACATTGGAAGAAAGACCATGATACAGAAGCTGAAGCCTGATCATTGTACCTTATTTCGTGGTGGGTCAAAACCGGGCTTACGACAGGGTTGATGCCGGAGCTCGTCCGCCATTCGGGCGGACGAATTTGGTCCGGGAGTTGGTCCAGACATGGTGCATGATTGATTTTAGCAAAGTAGAAAAACATGAGGTTGTCTCGAAAATGGTTGAGATAAAACCCTTGGGTGTTTGAAGCATGAATTCAAGTGGTTCAAAGTGTCTCTCCCAACGCACCGCGACTGACCCCCATTTCTCCATATCTACGGAGCCGTGTTCGGCACATTCGGGCTGCCCCGCACCGGTGCCGAGGATGAGTGGCCAATCCCGTCGCGTAAGCACCCGGAAGCGGGTCAACCGCAACATCCGACACTTTCGGACGGAACTTGCGGCACCAAGCAGGCAGCAACATCTTCACAGCAGGCTGCCATATTCAAGCAGATAGAAAAGAGACGACGAAGATCCAAACTTCTCAAGCGGCTGATATTAACCGTCCCAACTATCAGTCAACCAATCAAATGTAAGTTCAACCACTACCGACCCCTTTGCACCAAGTGTGAAGCGAGTCTGACATCCTTCAGTGGCGCCGAGATGACTTCTCCAACCAACCAAGAAAGCCCAAAGCTATTCGAACTGCCATGGGAGATCAGGGAACGCATCTACGAGTACTACCTCTCATTCGACCATGACGACTTCGGGGACACCCTCCGGCCTCTGCATCTTTACATCGAGCAGGGAGGTTACTCAAAACCAATCCCTCCACTGATGCTCACATCCAAGCGCGCTTATCGAGAGCTCCATCAGCGAGTCCATTCGGATGCCGTCATGCGGGTGCACACAGCGGGCTGGGGCGACCGGCGCATCGGCTTCGCCGTGCATGGGAAGCTACGCTTTGAACGCCTGCGCCGGTTGTATGTGCTCGTCGCCATGGAGTATCCCAACTGGAATCGTTGGCTAGGCATGCTCGGCGAAGTTACGCGGCGGGCAACGAATCTGAATGAGTTGGTCGTCGATTGGGAGCCGAGGCCGAGCAGCGTCAACACCAAGGTGTGGGAGGCAAAGCTGACGGAGAGGAAACATGACGAATTCTTTAGAATTGTCTCAGATTTGAAGAATCTTCAAGTGGTCAGATTTCATGGCGATATGCCAGCAGGATGGAGGGATCGATTCGCGAGGGAAACTTCAGCTAGGCTGGTTTTATACAAGTCAAAATGGTGGAAAGAGCCGGGAATGGAATAGGGTTGGCCTTTGGATTAGCAAGCCCTGGTAATATTTTCAAAGAGAATTTTAATATGAGATTTGCTGATCGATCTTTGAAAGTCGAGTGTCGTGGTCGTCCTGTGGCGGTCATGAGTCTATTCATCTACTTCACGTTCTGCGGTAAGTTAGAAGCTCTCGTTTCTTGAGTGTCTACTCTCCGAACCAGACCCATAAGATCGTGTGCGGCTGCTGTTTGATTACCGGAAAGGAATGTCGTACCCAGGGATCTTTCTCACATAGCGCTGTCAGCTTTCAGGAATGTATTGCTTTCTCCGCACATGCATATCTTACGTCAGTCTCCTAATCGGATCTAAGGCGTCCCATGATTGGACATCCCGTACCGTGCCTAAAGCCATCAAAGCCGCATGGCACTAGTGCTGATCGTCTGCTTCCTACCACGCTGATTTCGGGGTCTGAATTAGGCTGGCGGGATTACTTCATCATGAACTCTGAACCATCATAAATGCCGTGGCCCGTCTCCTCTTCTTCGCCATACCCTCTACTTTCGCTCACCATACCGCATTCCGAAGAGAAACTCCCGAAAGCAATCACCCCGTCGTCGTACCATCTCTGAAAAGATGGCAACGAACCAAACACTCCTCGTCATCGGAGCTGGCCCACAGATCGGACGTTCTGTGGCCACTTTGTTCGCCTCAAAGCGCTACAGCAATGTTGCCCTCATCGCGAGACGCGAGGAGCAGCTACAGATTGAGAAAAAGGCTGTAGAAGAAGCTGCCCCGAGCGCGACCGTCAAGACCTACATCGCGGACATTACCGACCCAGAGACCTTCTCCAAAGTGCTCGACCAAGCGGATGCGGATCTGGGCAAACCATCGTGCGTCTTCTTCAACGCTGCCAGAGTACAAATGTCGGAGATGCTGGTTCATGACGTGAAGGAAATGGAATATGACTTCAAGGTAATTCCGGAATTCTCGCCATTTCGAAACTACGTGAGACGAGCGGCAGACTAACGTCCTCTCCAGATCAACGTCTCTGCATTGTACGCCGTGACGCAGCGATACATCCCTCATCTCATTGAACTCGCCAAGTCCAGCCCAGAGTCAACGCCGGCCTTGATCATCACTAGCTCCGTTCTCCCGTACAGCCCGCACCCTGCCTTCTTTGCGCTTTCTCTGGTGAAGGCCGCCCAGCGCAACTTGGCACAGACACTCCGCATGTCTTATGAGTCTGAGGGGGTTCACATCGGACTGATCAATGTTGGAGGTCAAGTCTTCCCTGACCATGAGACTTGGAATCCGCCGAATATCGCCGAAAAGGCTTGGGAGTGGTTTTCTCAGATTAAGGAGAATCCGTCGTTTGAGGTCAAGATCTAAGGCAGAGCCAAATATCATGAAAGGTGAAAGAATTAACGGCCACAGTAGTACTCTGTCTCCATAAATTCACTTGTGTCTTGTGATTATTGAAGTAATATGTCAGCTAAAAGTGGTTTTTAAACCACAAACTGGTTTGGACCTGAATTTCAGTGTCTTCTATCTTCCAGGCATCATCTTTTTGAGCTTTATGATACTAAGAAAGCTCGCTTAACTTACCTATTCTTATGTGAATACTCCTCAGACTCATGCTCTTTCCATCTCAACCTCCTGCATGAGATGCAAAGCCCCACACACCTCCTTCACCTGCCTTCCTCACCCACTTTCGCTCCTTCCTTTCACAGTTTGCTTCAGTTTCTCACCTGAGATTCTATCCCTGAGCTCGGACCACAGCTTGGGCACAAGAGGTTTTTATTCCATTCTCAAAAAGCAAAAACAACTTCACCACCCACCAACCAGACCTCACGAGATCGTCCCAACAACAACGCTACCAAATCGCTTCTTCACGCGACTTCTGGCTTTTTGGGCTTGATTGCTTGTCTTTTTGACGCTCTCGCGTTTCTTCATTCATTCTTTCAAACAAGTCTTTTACGTTCATACTTTGCGACGTCCTTGTCTCAAGATTTGCTCCTTTTACAATGGCTCCCATCACCCACAACCAAGCCGCAGGCACTGATCTCAATCTCGAGAAGGGTTACATGGCAATCACCGACGAGAAGATCAAGCTTCAGAGCGATATCACTTCTGGCGATTTGGTCGTCATTGATGACCAGGCTGTCTCTCTCTCCAGCAAGTGCTACCGCAGCATCAATCAGGTGATTGATCTCCCCAGACTTCAGTACGCCGTCATGGAGGGCCTCAAATTCGGACGGAAGATCGCCCCTGTTGGCTTCGCCGTTTACGTCGTCGCCATGTTCGTCCTGGTTGTGATGCCTCGTCTTGCTGCTGCTCACGGATCCCTTGGCCTGACGGGCGAGATCGCTGCTCGCCAGGAGTACTCCATCAACAACACCATGAACCTTGCCCACTGCGTCCCCAAGCTTCAGCAGCGTGGAATTCTCTATCAGGCTGTCGCTCGCCGCATTGCCAAGTACAACGAGCACGCTCAGCTCATCCGCCGCACCGTCGACAACGTCCTCAAGACCGACCATGAGATCACCGACGGCAGCATCACCATGGATTCGACTGATGCCGAGGTCTTTGCTACCCGCGACGACGGCTGCGTTCTGAGCATCGAGACCACCGAGGGTCCCTTCTGTGAGTGCCCCATACCCAGAAAGTTCAAGCTACCCTTACTGACTCCATGGCGACAGACGTTGAGGGAGAGTTTGTCCGCTGGGCCCTCTGGGACGACGAGTTTGGCATTCCCATGTACCTCGACCTTCAGATTATCGACACCGAGACCTGCGAGCCAGCTCCTGACGTCTGGGTTGAAGTCTGGCGTAAGATCTCCCCCTCTCTCCATCTCAAAAACATCCCACTAACATCATGTAGACGCGAACGCCAGTGGCGTCTACTCCGGCGTCGTCACCAACGCCAACGGTGCCGGCGATTCCGACCCCGACAACGCCTTCAAGACCTTCCACCGCGGCCTACAGAAGACCAACGCCGACGGCGCCGTCTGGTTCGGCACCAACTTCCCGGGCCACTACGCCGGCCGCACCCCGCACGTCCATATCATGACCCACGCCGCCGGCACCGAGGCCCTCGCCAACGACACCGTCCAGAACAACGTCGCCACCCACGCCGGCCAGATGTTCTTCGACCAGAAGCTCGTCGAGAAGATGCGCAAGCACGAGCGCTACGGCAAGAACAAGCAGCACTTCATCGAGAACAAAGACGACGCCTACTTCCGCCAGGAGGCCGAGTTCACCGACCCTGTCATGAGCTACGTCCTGCTCGACCAGGAGGACAAGGACATCGCCGAGGGCATCATGGCTTGGAAGCTCGTCGGAGTGAACATGACCAACGTCCGCGAGCTGTATGTTGCTGACGCTTTCCTTGGTCAATAAGCGCGACGGTGGCTTTGCGAGGAGATGCGAAAGGCGTTGAACAGTGTGTCCGCGGACTTGACGTCTCATGAGCCGTCGAGGATTCGGTTTAGTTGAGTAGCAGGAACTCAGCTTAGCTGAGAATTAGTACTATTGCAATACAGGTTAAGAAGCAGCTCTCAATACGTTCAAGTTTCGTTCTATGTACATCGTCTCAGTCATGATTCTATACGCCTCATAACGCTGTGTCTATGAGAGGTCCATGGCACCGCTTGCTTGATCTATCTTCTTATTCTCATCAAACCCTAGTGCCTTCAGAAACCGTATCACATCGTCCATACCAGTAGGTGAGTTAAACCAATGTCCCCCATCCTGATACTCTTTCCATTCCACTTGACTTCCAAACCCTCTCAGTGTGTCCCGCAGAACGCGACCATTTTTTATGAGTACTAAAGGATCATCTACGCAATGCTGAAGTAACATCGGCGTGTTTCGCAGCAGCCGGTCATCTCCCGGGACGTCTTCTAGTCCCAATTTCGCACGGGTGTCGGCGAGGTTTCTCCCAGGGAACGGCATGCGGCAAGAAAATCCCAGGAATGCGCCCAATCTCTCTTGACCCTCTGGCAAACTCAGGTTGAGGAGCGTATGTACACTCGTCGCGGCGCCCTGGCTGATGCCTGCAAGAATGATGCGGTCGTACCTTCCACCCACCAGCTCCGCCTCTTGGTTGATAATTTCTCGGATCCTATACACGCTTTCTTTCAGACCCTCGGCCTGTAACTCCTCCCGCTCAGAGAAGTCGGACACATTCCAGATGTCGAACCACTGTGACACCTTGTCCCTCGGAAAGGCGACGGGGTTGCTCAGCTCGGCTTGAGGGAAGACCCAGCGGAATGACGGGAACTCGTCCGCCAGAGTACGATTTCGGGAGTCTGTGAAGTATGCCAGAGATTGCGAAAAGGTTTGCGCATTATCGCCGCGACCGTGGAGAAAGATGATGGTGTGCGTGTGGGCTGTCAAAGGCGGGATGGTCACGGTAGACAATGACATCTTGGTAGGTGATTCGAGAGTTTGCGATGACATTTGGGAACGTTCCCGTCGATCTACTGACTCCTTGTAGAGTAGGATGGTCTTTATTTGTGTGACTGATGCAGGTGCAGTCAGCTTGGCGGAAGTGTCGACTCCAGGCAGCCATACGTTGCTGCCTATCGAAGGTGGCGGTGTTACTCAGATTACCTACCCCAAGTTATCTTACTATGCACTCATCCAAATATCCTGCGGTCGCTGGTCATCGCTTGCGCTGCCGCAATATTGCAACACAAAAACAAATCTTAGATCAAAACGTTGAGTCTCCATCAGGATGATCGATGGAAAGCGTACCTCTCAAGCGCTATTCCGACCGCCGCCACTCAGTGGGCAGATGTTTGTCCGGGGCATTGCATCAATATCTCTCGCATCTCCAACAATACATAGCATTTGGGGAATCTTGGTATTTATTTGCAATTTCTTGTTACCCCCGTTTCCTCTGACCATTCGTCAATCTCCCGCTTTTGGGTCTTGTTTACACACACCTACCCCCCCTGCCTTAGTACGCCGGCCGATTCATCCACTCTTTCAGCATGCCCCTGATGCGGCTTTGTTGGTGGTTCGAACCGGTACTGCTCGAGCTCTCGCGGCGGCTGACGACGTTGGTCAGCTCGGATCCCCCGGACGGGGTCCTCGTCGCCATGGGTCTATTCTTGTAGCCTGCGGAGGTTTGCATCAGTCTGGCGGCCTTTTCGCTCTTCAATAAGGAGCGTATTACATGTGGTATCATATCTCTTCGGGTCTTCAATGATAGCAAAGAACTTTGCCTTGGCCTTGTCACCGGGCGCCATGTTGAATGCAAATCCTCGGTTCTTGGTCTTTGAATGAGATTGTAGTTCTTTCTTGATATTAATCAATGCGATCTTTGAGAACTATGATGTAAAGAGACGATGAACACTAGACCATTGAGCCTGCAAGAGGGGTAGGTCGTTTTTATGTATCGTCCAGCCCAATACACCACCAGCAAGGACCTCGTGATTCCGCCGCTGCCATAACCCAGGGTAAGGTTTGCCTCCAACCATTCCTATTCGTTCGTCTCGTCCAGAGTGTTTCAACCATCTTCATTAGGATTCGGGGAAATGAAGTGACCATCTTTCAAAATGAGGGGTAGCCCGCCATCCTCACACCAACACGCCGATTTCACCGACTCACGTCGCAGCATGATTGAACCTTCTTTAGCAACATCGGACCTCCGGTTGGTTATCGAGTTTCCTGCTTATGCTATGCGGCAGGCATTGGCAGCTCGGCGTGAGATGGACAGAGTCTCGACGCGGAGCGAGCCGGTGGGTTTCGGACCGCGAGGGGTCGGACGCGGTGCTCTCCCTGGCACCATCTCCGTTCGGGGCTTTCTGGATTATAAATCCGGACCGCGAAGTGTCCATCCAAAGTAAAATGCCGCCGGACTTATGGACTTGTCACCGACAAAGTATAACTCAAATGTTTATAGGTCATGGGCCCATGAGGTTTGGATTTTGAGCTGTATGTTATCGATGAGTTCTGCATGCCCTCGACAACTACCACTTGCCCAGCCCGATGGGACCGGTGCAACTCCAATGCTTATACGCCAGTTTGTTGTTCTCAACCTCATCGACGATAGCAACGGTCATGTCCTCGTTGTAGATACCGCCGTTCGCTGCCTCAACCGCAGGGTCCTCGGGACTGTCCACAAAGACGTTGTACTCTCCCGTCCGCACTCCTGGACAAATAGGTCAGAAAGCATTAATCAGAGTTTCTCAAAACACTAACCTTTATCACGCAATAGACCAGGCGGCGACAAGAATGACCACGACTTCTCCTGGACGCCATTCCACATGGTAAAAGCGATCCGACTACCAGTGATTAACCCCAAGGTGTGCTTGTTCGTCAGAGCGCCTTTCACCCAAGCCCGCGCCCAATAGACGAAGGGGCTTCGAATCCAAGAATAGATTTGATATTGGTAAAAATAGTCAGATCCTGCCCCAGGCTGACCCCATACGACTGAAAGGGCAGAACTTGCATCTCGGTCGTTGAATATGGGACCTGCTCCATTTCAAAAGCGTGGCCACCAAGCAGATGAACTGGCTTCCGTGATCCAGCCCACGCGCCGTCATGTAGTCAAGATGTTCGTCAGGCCAGTTCCACCTGCGACCCAGTGAATAAAGCCGCTGTAAATAGGCAGAATGAGATTCCTTACCACCAACTAAACGCAAAGCCCCCCGATCGGTAAGCTGAAGACGATTGGATACGTGAATCGAGCCCGCGCCACCTATCCAACGTTTTAGTACTGTTCAAATACTCTGAAGGAATGAAGTCCGTCCTACCAACGATGAAGAATGGGCCTTCGTGCGTCGAAGCCAACAAAGCCGTCTTGATCCTGCCGTGTCCCTCGACAGCCTCCGAGTAAATATTCGATTTGACTTTGAGACTTGGTCCGTAGCAAGACACAATGGTGTCGAAACCAGACGAGAATATTTCAACCAGTTTCCTATGCTCTTTGTGGATGTCCACAGACACTGACGACCAAGTGCCCTTGTCGGGGTTGGGCCACTGCTTGGTTGCAACGTTGGTTCATGCCGGAATTCTGTGCCCAGACGGGAGTCCCCGTGAACCTCTTTCTTCCCTTCTAACTTTTTTCTTCGCAGTTTACCGCCTGGAGGCGCACCTTGTTGACTGCCGTATGACTCTCACGGGGAAATATTTGAGGGCCAGGATGGCCTGGGAGAGAAACCTCTATGTCCACCTATGGGGGTATATGAAGAGAGCGCGAATCGCCAGGAGGCAGGCATCTCCCTCTTCACGCTGCCACAACCCATTACACCAACATGGGGTTCTGAGAAGCATGATTCGTCCTCTGTTCCCCTCGACAACACCGGGCTTTCATTTTACCTCGGCCGAGATTTCTCGCGAGGGTCTCGTATTTCTCGTGCTAGTGGTTGCAGCTCCAATGCGGACAAGCTACATGGATGACTTCTCGGGTCGTGGAATTATCATTGAGCAAGGACTTGGGCCAAGCTCCCATTAGATGCTTCGCTTCCTGGCTGGCATCAGGAACAAAGCTAACATATCCGGGCATATATATTCAGTTAATTGGAGTGCCATGTCTACCATTTCCCCTCCATCAGTCCTCTCTCTTCACTTCATGGTCTCTATTGATCGCCTGTCTTTGTTCCCCTTATTTCGGACCTAAATGCTCTATCATTACTTGAGGCTTCGTCTTACACATGGCGTACGTCTTCCACACAAAGACATGAGAGCTGAGATTATACTACCTTCCAAAGCGTTTTTTGAAAGCGTCTTCAGCCACTGGATCCTCCCGAGAACTCCATGGAAAACGTGGTCAGACGGTTCAAGGCAAGATCTGTAATTGAAAGGTCCGTCGTGTTGTTCTGAGACTCAAGTACGAACCTGACCTTGTTCTTTTCATTTCTCTCGTTCCACCCCCTTTTGTCTTCTAGTCTCCGTTCCATCACTGAATTTAAACATTTATACATTCTCTTAGGTGAAGTTCACAACATGTATTTGGAGTCCAACTCCCGCAAGAAACGAAATTGCTCTCCGAAGGAACTATATCTTAAATACTCCGGGGCTTGTGTGAAAGAGCTGGGCCAAGATCAACTGTGTGCACAGCTGCATGACCCCCGGATATATAGCCAGTCAATCGCTTGATATCACTTGTTGTGGTATGAAGTGGGGGTAAATCTCTCAGAGGAAACGAATCAAGAGAGCAAGGCCCCGCGAAGTGGCTGAACAAGACAAGCAGCTTCGTCAGCTGCAGGAAGCCTAGCCATGTTCTGCCGACGCAGAAAATCTGTCGAAGGAAAATGTACAGATGAAGGCCCTCGTCCTCGTGTAATACTCACAAACGAACCTAAGGAAATCCATGCAGGGCCCTTTCTTATGCCCAAAAAGGCGATGTCACGAACATAACGGGTAGTTGGTCAACTTTCACGCCCAGATCATATGCTAACGAATGCAAGCCCAACAAATCTGTCGTGCCCTTCCGGAGCCGAATACTCAACACAGAGAAACATCTTGATTCCCTCTTGCCTGCCTCGTATTTTGCCAAAGACGCAGGATTCCGAGACGCACTCCAAAAAGATGTCATCTCGCCACCCAAGCTAGACGAGGAGGAATTCCTCAACGCAGAGTTGGGCCAGGGCAGGCTCCACGAACTCGTCGAAAGGCTCTGGATCGCAGGAAAGCCCCCAACGCGCTGCACCTCCAGCGCGTCCTAGGCCGAGACATCATCGTCGTCGAATCGATGGACCTCCACCTCGTCTGCTCCCACACGCAGTTCTACGCCAAGCCGATTCCGCCTTTCTTATTAGAGCCGTCCTTTTGGACCCAGAATCTATCTTGCAGAGACGGTTGTGACTGCTCCGACAACCCTTCAAACTCGTGCTCACGTCGCACGCTCTGGAAGTCCGCCGTGGGGTTCCTATATTCCTATCGCGCTCTGATACGACTTGAAAGTGACTTCCGCCTCGCGCAGGATAACTACTTGTTACCAGAACGTATCGAATGGGCAGATTGGAAACGCTTCGTCGCAAACCTCAACACCACACACACAGATGGCCAAATCCACGAGAGGTTCATGTACGGCGAACTCCGCCGAAGCCGACTGAACAAACTTCAGTCTATACGGTCAAACTTCAGGGAAACCACGTATGTCCAGCGGTGGTATCGACACGGAGAGTTCTTCCGCGACAACTTCGCCTGGCTGGCGTCTGCCACCGTGTACATCGCGATTATCTTGACGGCTATGCAGCTGGGCCTGGCCACGGACGCTCTGGAGGAAAACGCCTTCTTTCACTCCGCTTCGTACGGGTTCACCGTCTTCGCCATTGTCGGGCCCTTGGCCGCGGCCGGTCTGATCATCGCGCGTTACGTGTGTCGCACGGCGGTGCACATGATCAGCGCCGATAGAGCCTATCGAAACATTCTAAGAGACGAAGAAAGGGGTTCCCACAGTCGTAGTCAGCACTGTTGACTTCGCATCCCGAGATTCCATCCTTCTCAAATTCAAGGCATGGGACAACACCCTGGTTTCGGGAATCTCCTAGAAAATGGTGCAGCGGGTTGGATTCCATAGCTCGTCGTACGTGAGCAAGTGGAAAAAATACGAGAGCACATTGTCCTTCGTAAGGGCAAAGCCATTCCATTAAGAAGGGGCCAGTCCTCTGGAATCCCGACAGCGGCATCTCCGTGAGGTGCCCACGTCACGGGACATCTCGAGGAAAGCGGAATCAGCAAGAGGCTTGGTTCTGTACCTTCCCCATCCTTCCCCGTCCCTTCCCTCTCAAACGACTGACTACGATCTACCTCAGGCAGACTGCCTACCTTGAAAAACCCCCCCTCTCCCCAAGCTCTATCAAAGCAAGTTCTGGCAGCAGTCGTCGGGGGGAAAACCCCTCACCGACGCGGCCGCGTAGTCAAACGGTCCACAACGACCACGGAAAAGAAAGACAGGTCCATAGAGACCACGAAAACAAAAACAGTTAAAAAACCGTCGGTTTTTCGTAGGGTTCTAAAAAGAACCCGAGCTTTTTTTGTGTTTTGTCCTTGTTTTTTATTGCAGCACACCCTTGACTTCACATGCTGGTACTCTACCTTCTACCATCAAACATAAGGAACCGTCTTGTGGGCTGATATCTACACACCTGCGGAAGGAAGGCGTGGGCTGATGGAGCAAACTCTTAAGAGACAGACTACTTACCGGTGAGGGGTTACGGCACTAACACAGGGATCCCGCCATGGATTCTCGCTGAATCACACACAAAAGCAGTTGAGGCTGCATACGTATCACTCATGATGAAAGCAGGGGAATTCACATATGCTGGCCCACTTGCTTGGGGGAACAGCCATCTCTACATCATGCATAAAGGGGCCAGGGGACGCAATGGCAGAAAGAGAAACCATTTTTGTTGACCATATACGACTGGTGGACAAGAGAAGGAGGAATAGTTGCCTCCAGATGCAGAGCCAAAAGACAAAGATGCCTCAAAACGAACTTGCTGATTCTTGCCCCCCTCCGTCCAGACTCCATATTAACCCATCGTTCCATGTGTCATGCCCCCAACTCCGTCGAGATAAGAAAAGTCATGGACCCAGGTTTTCCCAAATCAGATTAGGGGTATGATGCTTCTATGGCGCAGAAACCTCGAATTAACGCCCCTTCCGGTACCCCTTGTTGCTGTGCAAGTTCATTGTTGTCGTGATATAAAGAAAAGCAGAAAGGAAGCATATGATGTCATTCACACCTTGCTTGCTTTTTCGTTCGTGCGCGGATGTGTGGCTTTCTATGGCAATGCGGCGACGCTACCAGCCAGCAGTGCATAGTTGGCCAGCTTCAATGAGAGGACTCTCGAGCGTGGGTAGTCAGGGCTGATGATCATGCGGCCGTCCTTGTTAAACCCGACTTCGCCAAAGGATTCGCTCAACTGCTCAAACTTCGCATTTGGTCGCACTCGGTTCAACTCTGCTAGGATATTGTCGCTCCATACGCCTGAGCACCAGCCGTCGCGGAGGACAAAGTACGGGTTTAGTGGTGGAACAGGAGAATCTAACAGACAGTCAGTACAAAGCCAGTGCAGAATGTCGGAGGTAATACATACCCAAGTCCACAAAACGAATCCGCAGGTAGTCGAGTGCCTTCAGAGTTGACATGGAGTGGATGCCTGCAAGGACAAGCATCTCAAATGCGTGGATAAAGTTCATATCTTGAATTCCACTTCCCGAGTCGTGGAACTGGGGCACGGGGCGGCAGCAGTTTTTGACTGTCAGGTCAATCGTCTTGAGCCGGGTTGTTCTCGGGTCGGATCTGATGGCTGCCATGTTGAAAAAGGCCTTGCACACACGGCCAGTGTATGCCAGGTGCTCAAGCGCCGGTGTCGCATCCGCCAGTCGGGTACAGAAGTGTACTTGGTTCGAGACCTTCATGTAGAACGGAGGGCACGTCAATTCCCGTCTGTAGTCGCTCTCCAGGCACAAGTTGAGGTACGTCAAGTTTGTCGGCAGCTTGGGAAGAATGCTGGCCATGCTTAGGTAGCTCTTGGACTTGGGCTTGCTGTAGGAGCCGTGCCACTCGTTCAGATTCGGGAGGGATCCCAGAATGGCTGCGAAATCGGAGTCGCTGCGCATGAGATTCCACTGGCCCTTGGTCACCAAGGTGCGCACCGATTCGAGGGTGGGAAGATGCCAGCCAGCCGGCCGCCTATGCCAGCTATGCTGCACCTTCGGCGCCTTCTTTCTCTCACCACCCTCAATCGTCATTACGCAGACGTCAGGAAGAGCCTGGGAGACGAAAGAGAAGGCTTCCTCAAGGCTGCAGTTGTTGGCGGGAAGGGTGTAGGTCGCATTCGTCAATCCGTCCATGGTGACTGTTGGGAGGGCGAGGGTAGTGCTTAGCGCCAGCGGTCCGTACTTGGGCTGGAACACCGGGAACCAAATCTCAATGTGTTTCACGTAGCGACGGAGGTGGTCGTGCTCGCTGAAGTAAACCATGGCCATCTCGAGGGATTCCACCGTCGCCTTGATCTTGATATGGCGATACAAGCGCTCTTGGATCAGGATTCTCCATACCGGGCTCACCAGGGCCAACTCTGACAACTCCCTGCGCCGAGAGTGTCGCAGCGCGGTTCCCCAGCTCTTGGTCACGCTCGGCATGCCCACCGAACTCTTGGACGTTGTGGATACGCGGTATCCGAACAAATGATCAAGGATGCACTCGTGAATCTCGGCGGGAAGATCGTTCAGGTTCAGTGAGGGCGAGGCCTCCGGGGTCTCGAGGGAGTAGGGATGGGTGGTGATACCCGGGCCTCCGTAGGCCTCGGTGTCCTCAGCCATTGGACAGCAGCAATCCGAGTTTCGTTGATCGGGGTGAAGGAAGGGAGTGCTGCTGGGGCGGGTCGGGGGCACGAAGTCATTGCTCTTGGCCTGTTCGAGGGGAGGACTGGAGGGTCCGGGAGATACGGGGTTGGAAGCGGTGTTGAGGATTGTTGTGATGATTGAGGCAGTCATGATCGAGGTCAACTCTTCTGTAGCGTTGGCGTTACCATTGTAGTCGTCTCGCGACGGTCGCCTATCGATACCGGAGGGGTCTCGGTCTCGGGAGACGTTATTCGTGACGTCGGGGTGGTCGTCGTCGTTTGTGTGCAGGGACTGCTCGACGCAAACGGACATGGTCACCTGGATGGTTGAAGTGAGATCGAAAAGCTAAGTTTTTCGTGGTGAAGTCGGCGATTCCAGGGTCATGGCAGGTTGGAATCGAAAGGCGTCGAATGTCGTCGGGGTTGGCGGGAATTGGTTGTCAGGCGGGAGGTAAAACTGGAAGGTGAAGGGAGATTGGCCTGGGCTGCTTTGACGATGGTGGGGGAAATGAAGTCCCAATAATTCAGAGACCCTTGATACCAAGACCGGGGGGGTCAACAATGCTGAGCAGCTGTTTTGGTAGGCAGGCCGCCGTATTCGTCAGGGCAGGGCCAGGTCCAGGTGTAGGTAGCGGCCCAGCGATCCAGTCAGTTCGCTGAGAGTCTGGGACTGGGAGGGAGTGGTCCAGTCCAGTCTAGTCGTGGCGGTAGCGCTGCGCTGGGGTCGCTTCGCTTGACCAAGCCACTTTACGCGGTCGGTCGCGTGCGCAGCGGCAGAAAATGGTCCAATGGGACAGTGAAAGGGAGGAGTTGTCGAGAGGACGCAGTTAAGAATGGGTGGTGTCGATCGATGGGTGGCCGAGCGAATGGCGGCAGTCGGAAAAAAAAAAAAAAAAAAAAAAAAAACCCCGTGACAGACTGCAGACTGCTGTTGACAGTTGCGGACCGAGAGATTCCCAGAAGGTGGACGGTTCAGTTCAGGCGCAGTCGCAGATGCAGCCGCAGGGGGTCTTTGGGTGAAGAGATGATTGAACAGAGCAGACCAAAGCAGAGAGACCAAAAGACACCGAGACTCAATGCTGGCGTGTCGTGTATGGATGAAACGGGCGCCGGACACTTGACAAAGTGTTTGGGCGGGCGGGAGCGCAAAAAGGCTGACTTGGTCGCTTTAGGTGAAGCAAGCAGGTCGCAAGGTCGCAGGGTCGCAAGCACGCAGGGCAACGCAGCGAGGCACAGGGCGGCGGTGCGGCGGGCGCGGGTGCGGGAGCGGCGTGTTGCGGTGCGGCAGGAAGATTGGGCGAGGAGTGGAGGGTCGACGGTCGCTGGCTGCACCGGTAGGCAATGCGACGCGAGGACGAGGCAGGCAGGCGGTCAGTCGACGGGGGGTGGCGTGGTCGAGTTGGGATTCCCGCAGTTGCAGTCGCAGAGAGTGGGTAGTGAAGGTGGTACCAAGGGATAAGGTAAGATAACACCGGCCAGGGTTGCGTCCAGAACGGGAGGACGGAGATTTGATGATGACGGTATGGTCTGGTTTTGATTTTGGTGACGAGATGAAAGCCGGGAAGGGGCAAGAGTCGACCGAGAAGAGGGGGGCAACCAACAGTCGATACCTAGGTAATGTGGAGAAATGAATAAGAAGAAGGAGACGATGTAGGAAAAGGAAAAAAGAAACAAAAGGAAAAGGTAAACCGGTAAAATGGAGTCAAGCAGGAGAGATATGACGGAGCCGAAGAGGAGACAGACGGAACGGCAGTCGGCAACTTATTTTCGGGGGCTGCGTGGAGGGTCGCGGTTGTGAGATGTTGGTGCAGTAAGGTAAGGTGCCTCAAGGCAACTGCCTTGTTAGGTACCTTTGGGGAAGGCAAGGCACATGAGGGGAAAGACAGAAACACCACGCAAACCTGGAAAGAAGGTTACTTTTTGGTCAGGCAGGCGCGCCCAAATCGCAGACCCTTTTGATGGATGGAAGGCAAGAGCATCACTCGGAACAGAGCAAGAGCCACCGGGGGCAACTGCAGCAGCAATGGCAAGGCAAGGGAGATGCAGGTCACGGCAGGCAGGTGCAACCAACGGCAAGAACAGTACCTGCTGCCATCATAGGTATCTCCTGCCTTCCAACTGA